CGCCAGACCTCTTTACAGATGGTTGTGAGCCACCATGTGGTTGCTGGGAATTGAACTCAGGACCTTTGGAAGAGCAGGCAATGCTCTTAACCACTGAGCCATCGCTCCAGCCCTATTTTTTTTCTTTTTATACATCTTAGAATCTGAGCCCAGAGATTCACCCACAGTGGACAGTTAACCACTTCAGCAAACCTAACCAAGATAATCCCACAGGCGTGCTCAGCTTCCAAGTTCTATTACTCTGCCCTGTTGACTGCTCTGTTAACCTTTGGGATGGTAGCTCCTCCCCGAGGAATGGCACAACTGTCCTTGTACGCTGCCCCTCATTATCCCATTAACTCTGCTTTGTTCTAGGTTTTACATTAGTTGATGTTACATCTTGTTAGATTAAAGTTGACCTACGGCAGCTCTATACTTTTACACCCAGTTCACCTCTATCATCACTTTTAACGTAGATCCCTTGTAGACAACAATAGCCATCATACGGTTTGGGCCCTCTGTACTAGTCCTGCATTGTGTTGGATAGATTTTGATCATTTGTATTTAATGTAACTATTGGTCAGCTAGGAATGATTTTAAAGACAGTTATAGCACAGTACTGAAACTAAATGATTTAAAATCCAGAAATGTGGACATAGGATGGAACTTGGTGGTAAGGTGCACCAAGCCGGTGCCAGGCCTGGGGTAGATCCCAGCCCTGCTAACAAGACAAAACCAGAAACCTACAACACAATCTTGATCAGTTCTGGAGGCCAGAAGCCTGGTATCTGGTGATATTTTAAGGTCATGTTTTCTCATTTTAATGAGAAAGTTAGCATTGGAGCTACTAGGACTCGGCTCTACTGAGGACCCTCTGAGTCACAGGTGGGACATTTCATGTTATCTCGGGATGTCAGTTTCCATCCATGCTGACAATGTATCAGACAGGTTTTCATCATCGCCTTAAACACACTGAGGACAACTTAAAGAAGAAGGAGTCATTTTGGCTCCTGGTGTCAGAGGTTCTGCCCACGATGGTTTGGTCTCATGGCTGAGGGCCTGTGGTGAATCAAAGCATCATGGCAGAGAAGGTTAAGTGGAACAGCTGGCATCTCGTGCCATCAAGGAAGCAGAGAGGAGGACAAGGTGTTCTCCATGACTAATTTCTACCAGCCCTGGCCTCAGTCTGCAGTCTCTTCAAAAAGGGCTTTCAGCTGGGACTAAGCCTTCCGCACAAGAACCTGTGGGGGAAGCTTCAGACCCATCCATGACAGTGTGGTTTTCAACCTCACACCTGCCCTTCAAGGCTGAGGGTCAGAGAAACACAAAAGGGAGGTGCAGGCACTAGACTGGGAAGCTTCAAGTCTCTCTGGTGTTAAGAAACATCAACCACTGTGGGAGGGGACAGTAGGGGTAAGCCATCAGCACTTTCAGCTGTAGCCACCCCAGCACTGACACTTCAGGATTCAAATAGAGTCCATTCCACAAATGCAATAGCAGCTATCTGCTGCCATCTTAGTTTAGTCATGACAGGGAACATAACTGGAAAGCGTGAGACAAATCAGGTGCTAAGACACAGGCGAGAGAAATGGATAATGAGAGCCACCTGGCAAGTCCAATGGCCTCCAGCAGAATGACAGCGTCCCTGGCTCTGTCAATGACTTGGACACATTGTTCTCCTCTGATTTAGGGAATCAAACACAGGTGCCTGTGTGGTGAGGTGCACAGAGGAATGAATCAAACATGCTAGTGAAGGACAAGCTGGCAGGTTCAGAGACCCCGCACCCTTAATTGGGATGATAGTCTGTTTTCTAATCTCTGGTTCTAAAAGCCCTTTCTGCTCACAACCTGAATGTCAGGCCTCCTGACCAAAACATTCATAGTGAGGTCAAGACCTGGGCAGTGCCAGCTCCTCAGTACAAGCCAGGGCGGTCAGATGGGGTTCAGTAAGATTGTTTGTGGATACTTGAGCCCATCCAGCTTTGGTCTAGACAGGTACAGAGATGCCATTGTGGGACCAACACCTGTCTCCAGAGCCATGGAGTGTAGACAGCCACACAGGAAATGAAATCCTTCTCCAGACCTGACCTTCTAGGATTCAGGCAGGTGGCCAAGTTCAGGAACTGCAGAGTGGGGAGTGGAAGGCACAGTTCCTACTGGGAAGGAAGCTGGGCTAAGGCCTGGAGCCAGGCAGACACCATGAATTCAGAACACAGGTAGGCACATGGGGTCATGGTGCTTTTTGCATCATTTACACAAAAAGAGTGTGATCTGCCATGTGGAGTGCATATGGGTGCTCAGAGCTAACAAGGAGGGAAGCTGTGGACTCCAGAGGAATGACGTTCAATAGGAGCACAGAAATGGGCTCAAGTAAGGCTGTGATGGATGCTGGTTCTTCATCCCACCTCAGGGCACAAGATGGCAAGAAATGAACACACATGGACCTCAGTTGCACCAGGGCAGCCCTGGCTCTGAAATGTCCTCCCAGCAGGTCCTCAGATGACAAGAACAGCAGAAGGCCAGAGCCCCTTGTTGGACATGAATCCCCCTGAGCTCTCGGAGGTGAACCCCCTCACCTGTCCTTTCAGGGGACCAATAATCATGTGTGGCTGGAATTCCTCATAAAACCAACTTAAAATCGTGTGAACTATGGAAATGTATCCCTACCTGATGGTTGAGGAAATGGCATTGCCCGGGCAATGAAAAGGACCAGGACATCTGAGATAAAGAAGTGCCCTGCAGAGCCCACAGCTGGGTCAGGGTCATGGTGTGGCCTAGTATGGCAGGGGATCTTCCCTGATGATGTTCAAACTGACAAGAGTCAGGAGTCTGTGTCCCCACTTACAGGAAGGTCCAGCTGGGGTGTCCATGCACAAAAAGGACAATGAAGTGGGCTCCCTCCCGGGCAGCGGCCAGGCCATCTGGGGACTAGCAACAGTCTCTGGTAGTCTAGCTCAGCCCCTTTCTCTGCATAGGAGGTCAGAATCCAGGTCTCAGTGGACATAGCTCAGGGCAGCCATAGCAGATGGGGGACAAGGCTGTGAAGGTACGCCTGGCCTTCCCTCTCTGCCCAATGAGCAACCTTCCTACCCATAACTTACTCGTCTACCCAGGGTCCTTTGTGAACACAAGTCTTGGTGGCTCAGACATTGCAGGGCATTGTGTGTCTTTCTTTGTCTGTTGGTGACATTGAGTTCATTGTCATCAGATCCCAACAACAACAACCTTCCACCTCCATGATGGATGTGGATTTGGCCATGAGAGAAGGACAGGAGGGACGTGGTCAGTGCCAAGTTGGCACACATCCCTGGCCACGGGGGATATAAAGGGCACCGTGTGAGCAGCCAGAGCAAACCTTCCCCAGGTGACCTGCCTTGTGTGAGAGCCCAGCTAGCGACTGAAGATGAAGAGCCTGCTCTTGACCTTCACACTTCTGGGGTTGGTGGCTGTCCTGAAGGCCCAAGAAGTACCATCAGATGACCAGGAGGATGTGAGGAGGGGAATGTCAGTGGGGAGGGGTGGGGTAAAGGCATGGCCTTCTGCTTGGTGCTGGTAGATTTGAGCTGAGGGCCAATAAGTCTTTGAAGGTTGAACTTGACCTTGCACTGAGCAGTAAGAACTGGGCTTCCACTATTCTAACCGAAGATGGGTATTCTCCTGAAGTTAGAGGTTTAGAACAGAAAGAAGATTTGATAAGGATTCCTTGTTCACATGATACCTAGAGCTAGAAGGCCTCGTAGACAAGGGCATTCATCCAGTGCTGAAGTGTAGGCCTCAAGAGTTTAGATACCTTGATGGGAGCACACACTTTCTACCATCATGGGGTTGGGGTCTAAAGCGCTGATATCTGCTTTCTGACCAAAGGTCCTGGAATGCAGGTTTGTCCTTCTCAGTGGCTGCAGCCTGGGCTCTCAGTGTCTACACAGGTGCTAGCCCATATGCTGGAGCCTGGGATAGGTAGAGGGCCAATATTGTGCATGTGCAAAGCTTTGTCTCCTGCAGTACTCTGGGACCTGGTATTCAAAGGCTACAATATACAATGGCAGCCTACCCAGTCACATGATACCCTCGAAGGTTTTCCCTGTGAAGATGACAGCCCTGGAAGGAGGAGACATGGAGATCAACATTATATTATGGTACGTGTCCCCAACTCTGCACCTCTCTAATTGTGTGTGTCTCCCTTGCTATCCATGTTTTGAGTTTGGAAAATTAAGTGATCCCTGCCTTTGAGAGCACACAGTCCTAAGTAGTTTCCTAAAGCAGGAACATGGATTTAGAGGATCACCTGACCAGGGCTGATTCACCAAAAGACCTGAATGGCTCCACCATGCTGATGAGAGCAGCCTGACTGTGGACTTGTGTTTACAGGAAGAATGGTCAGTGTCATGCCCAAAAAATCCTGATGAAGAAAACTGATGAGCCTGGCAAATTCACCTCCCGTGAGTCCCTGTGTCTTAGGGTATCCTGCAGCGGCAGCCCTTGGATAGATGGGTCCTTGCCTGGTCCAGCTTATAGGACAGGCCATCTAGTCATTTTCCACATACCATATATAGAGGTAGTTATGTAGTCAACCCTAGCAACTGACTGGATCATTGTCCCCTGTCTGAATCTCAGTTCTTGAACCATGAGAAAACCATGCTAAAGAGAGGAGAGCCAGGCAGGGAGATGGATGTTCAGGCCTGGGTCCTACATCAGCTCCCTTCTCTGAACATCTTAGCTGGGCTTGAGAGCTTCCAAGAAATGGCTCCTGTCTAATTATGGAGACAATAGAAAGGCCAGGGCTAGACTAGACAGGTCTCCTCGGTGACCACCGAAGTGTTCCAAGGTGTTCCCTCACATGGTCTGCAATGGTGCCTCAAGGATAAGACACTAAGAGCTATTTCTGTTCATCTGCAGTAAATGGCAAGAGGTCCATGTATATCACAGCGCTGCCGGTGAAGGACCACTACGTCATGTATTGTGAAGGCCATTACCACGGGAAGTTCTTTCGCATGGGAAAGCTCATCGGTGAGGTGCCATGGAGGCCCTAAGTCCTGTGTCTGGTCTCTGCTTCCACCAGCATGCCTGGCACTGGGGACCAGAAAGCCTCTTGGTGCTGTGTCCAGGGTACTGCCCAGGAAATATGTGAGATCCAAAGAGAAAAGTGGCTAAAACTGGGCGGGCCTTGGGCTTTTGTGGCCTTTGGAGACCAGAGCACTCAGGAACGGTCTCCACCCCTGGAGCCAGCAAATGCCACTTCCAGGAATCTCAGTCAAATGTCAGGTCAAAGGGAATGTCTTGGCAGAAGCCTTTATGGTAGGTAGCAATACTCCAGGGTCAGGGGACAGCCTCATGTCCCTGAGATTCAGGGCTCTTACAGGTTTGTGGAGTGACCTGTAAGTCTGCAGAGGTTCTCCCTAGGGCCAGAGGGTCCCTCACGTCTGGCTGTCCACACCCATTTCGTTGTTAACTGCCAGGCTCCTCTCTCAACCTTTGTGTAGGTTAATGCTCAAGTCCCTATGCCTCTGGCTCTCTGCAGAGCTGAGCTCCACCCCTTAAGCCTGCCCCACCTCCCCACAGGGAGAAACCCTGAGGAAAACCCAGAGGCCATGGAAGAATTTAAGAAATTTGTACAGCATAAGGGACTCAGAGAGGAAAACATCCTTGTACCAGAGTTAAAAGGTGAGAACAGGACTGTCCATGCCTCCCTCTGTGTCCCCTGTGTCCCTGCTACCATACGATGAGGCCCCCAACCATGTCTGTCTCTGTGCTTCTACGTCCTCTCTGTGCCTGGTCTTATTGTCCCTTCGTGTGGTTTCATGTCTGTTCTTGTCCCTTGTGTCTCTGTGGTATCTCCATCATTTCCTCAGGGTCATGCATAACTCAATATCACAATGTCACAATCTGAGCCTCTGTCCCTCGATGTCCCCATGCACCTCCAAGTCTCCTGTGCTCTGTCCACTCTCTCCCTTGCTCTCTCTGTTTCCCTGGTTTCTGCACTGTACCTTCAAGGTCCTGTTACCTCTCCCAGGGTTGCCAGGCCCTGCCTTAGGTTTTGCCTGGGGGAGGGTCTGAGCCTCAAATGTGATGGGGTCCTCTACAGGGCCCTTCTCACCCATGGGCTTCTTTTGGTTTCTACAGAGCACTGTGTGCCTGAAAGCGACTAGGGTAAGTCTCCCCCACCCTGCCCCACCTGTAGTAATGTGGAGAAGCCTAGAATGTGGAGCTCAGGAAGCCCTTGTCCTCATCCCATACCCACAGACAGGTGCTGTCACCAGGGAAGTGGCCCTGAGTGTAGTTGCCAGACAGCTAGGAAGTCCTTCTTGTTTGTCTTGATCTCTCCTAGTCCCTGGTCTCTGACTTGCCCTGTTTTACCCATTCTCTCCAGGGTGGCAGAGACCTGGGTGATCATGGGAGTGGGGAGGGATATCTACAGAGGACCCCAGCTCCTAGCAGGGACCACACAGAAATGTTGGGAAAGAGATTTCTGTTCCATATGTGCCCTGGGCCGCCTCTGTCCATGACTCCCTGACTGTTGCTCCTGTAGAATGGTGGTCTTATCTCTCTTCTCTCTGTCACAGCAGCTACCCAGGTCTGCACCTGCTGAGCAAACCTTGCTGCCCAAACCTGACTTGGACATTCCTGTACCACACCTCTCCTGCACCAAACTCCTCACTGCTCCTCCATCAAACCTTGGCCTTCCCTCCCCCACCTGATACCAAATAAAGCCCTTTAGCAGTCCTCTGGCTCAGCTTGTCTGTGAAGGGCCTTGGCTGGGCTTGAAGACCCTGCTGGCAGCAGAGACATGGGAAAAGTACAGCGATATCGATGGGCTGGTGCCCAAGGAGCATGGCATCTGAGTTTCCTGGAGAGCGTGTGGGGTCTTAGAGCCCCACATTGTGAGCCACTGGCTGTTAGACTGGACCCTGTCAGGAGTGTCTCAGAAGCCCCTGTGAAGAGGGCTGTGAGGGGTCATCAGGGCTTTGGGCAGTGTGACTGTCACCCCTGGGCTCCTAGTCCAGGAGGACTTGGTGTACTTCTGTGAAGACCCCCTCCTTGAGAAGCCTAGCTCAGTGACAGGGTGGTGCTAGGGTGGGTAGCTCCTCCATCATGTCCCCTCAGTAAACACAGAAGCAGCCACAGTCTCCCTCAGCCCAGATCTCCACCCCAGGCCTCCCTCACAGTCTTTCAAGGACAAGGGTTTAGGGTTTCACTGTCCAATGGGACATGGTATCCAGAATGTGGGAGAAGATGCCAGACCCCAGGTGATCAGTATGGCCTCTAAGTGCAAATCCCAAGGTGCTGGCTGTCCAGCATGTCACCTCTGCTGATGGTTGCTGGAACTCAGGCCAGTGTCCCTCAGCTCATTGACCCTCCAGTCTAAGGTCGCCTGATTGGCTGTTCTCTCTGCATTCCTCTCCTTCTGGACTTAGCTCTTGCTGGGAGCTCTTGGGAGTTCCTAAGGATGGGCTGCTCTGCAGGTACAGGTGGGGCCTGAGGCCTCCAGGCTCTTTGGAGGACAGGGCCAGGCCAGGCTGGATCCAACATACCAGGCTCTCTTTTAGATTGAGACAGGGACTATGCATGGATTTAACTGTGGGTCCCAGAATAACCTCAAATTCAAAAATTTGATGCTGATTTCTTTTGTAATCAGTATTTCAGAAAAACTTCTTATTGAATCCAGAATATGCAGAGACTGCAATCTGACACCACACCCCACTACAGTATCACAGCTCCCTGCCCCCTGCCGCAGGGTCAGTACTGGGACTGAGCTGTGACCCTGGGCACTGGGTGTGAAAGCTCAGGGCTGAGACTGTGCCCTGGAGCAGTGAGCAGAATCCTAGCAGGACCCAAAGTGGAGAGGCCTCCTCCTGCCAGCTGCTCTGCACTGAGCCTTTGCTGCCTTCCTGGGCTTCATTACTGCTGGAAGGGAAGCAGCAGGGACTCCATTTGGGCAGGGACCACTTCCTTTCTTTGAACTTGGAACCCATTTTCCTTAAAGACATACTGACCAACCAACCATCTTGTGGTTTGCTGTGGTTAGTTGGGCCCTTGTGACCTGGAGAGAGCTTTTACCAGATGGTCTGATCACGTGTTAGGGGATGGGCAGATAGCAAGATAGAGCCAAAGGCACTTTACTTTTTATTTTTTTAAATTTTTTATGGTTTATTTAGCTTTATTTTATGTGCATTGGTGTGAAGGTGTCAGGTCCCCTGGAACTGGATTTTCAGACAGTTGTGAGCTGCCATGTGGGCGCTGGGATTTGAACTTCAGTCCTCAAGAAGAGCAGTCAGTGCTCTTAACCTCTGAGCCATCTCTCCAGCCCCCAAAGGCACTTTAAAAATGTAGTGTCTACAACACTGTGTTTATGCAGGAATGCACAAGTTATGGCCTAGGTGTGGCAGTCATGGGACAGCTTTGTGGACACAGAGCTCTTCCCAGCTGTACCTGGGTTCTGGGATTGAGTCAAGTGGTCAGGGTGGGTGCGTCTAGTGTGCTTCTTACTCACAAAGAGACACTGCTGGTACCAATGATATTTTCTCTTTGCCACAGTTAAGGAACTAGAGGCCCCTAAGGACGGGATTTTCATACTAGTGAGTGAGTTTTCTCTGCTCTGCTAAAATACTCTGGCATAGTGACTTAAGTAGGGAGTTTGCCTAACAGTTTCAGACCACAGTCTTTCAAGAAGCCAAGGTGGCAGCAGTTAGAGGGAACTGGTCACATCAAATCCACAGTCAAGCAGCACAGACTGGTCCAGCCAGAAGACTCAGGCTTGTGACCAAGCCTGATCCTGAGTTTAGTCCTCGTGTCTCACATGAGGAAGGAGAAGCTTGATTCCTGTAAGCTGTTTTCTGATGTCTACAAGATGACCTTGTCATCTGAACACACTTGCACATGCATGCTTCCATTCAATGAAAATAAATAATAAAATGTGATATAAAATTAAAACAGCATAGGTTGATGGATGGGTGTGTTCAGCCTAATTTTTTTTATACATCTTAGAATCCCAGCCCAGAGAATGGATCCACCCACAGTGACCAGTTAAACCCACTCAGCAAACCTAACCAAGACAATCCCCACTGGCGTGCTCAGCTCTTCTTCCTGATGATTTCAATCAGGCCGACAGCGGAATGGACAACCACAGCTCCCACCTGGAGGGTGCTACTCAGTTAATTCTGTCTGTCCTGTGGATGTGGTTTAGCGTCTGAGCACTGCATGCCAGGCTGTTTGAAGCTTTACCTCTGCTAAATGTCAATAGGGATCCCTGAAGCACTACAGGAAAAATGTTCAACATAACCAGCAAAGCAAACGTGTATTGGTAAATGTATTTTCTTGAAAAGTCAGTGCTCTTTGGAGGTATTTTCACTAGCTCAGTTGTAAATTCTGTCTTTTTTTTTTTTTTTTTTTTGAGGGGGAAAGTGGGGAAATGTTGAGAGACCAAAACTACAGATGACAAAAGACATACCAGGTGGCTAGAATCTCAGAGTGTCACTGCAGAGATGGGGGCACTGCACAGCTCTGAGCTGCCACCCAGGGAAGCCTGAGGGGCCCCTTATCTAGAGCCCTTGACTCAGTCAATCACAGGCTCATGGCTTCAATGAGAGAAGGATTTCAGGATGAACCTGTATGAAGCCGAGTTGGGGAAGGGTTCAAAGAGATAGTTCAAGAAGAGAATACAGGGGGCTGGAGAGATGGCTCAGAGGTTAAGAGCATTGCCTGCTCTTCCAAAGGTCCTGAGTTCAATTCCCAGCAACCACATGGTGGCTCACAACCATCTGTAATGAGGTCTGGTGCCCTCTTCTGGCCTGCAGGCATGCACACAGACAGAATATTGTATACATAACAAATAAATAATATTAAAAAAAAGAAGAGAATACAGGAACTCCAGATTTGGGGGCACGGCCTTCACAAAGGAGGGAGTCACAGTTTAGTATATGACGCTGATACCTAAGTTACACACACAGGTGACAGGAGACACTCAGGGAAGGAATAGAACATTCCCCGTTCTCAAGGGGGAGCTGCTCTTTAGTACCCTCTTGGTGACTCTTAAATTCTATCTCAAAGTAGGTACTCAAGAAGACAGGGCTTCTCTGTGTAGCCTTGGCTGTCCTGGAACTTGCTTTGTAGACTGGGCTGGCCTCAAAGTCTAGTTCTGCCTGCCTTTGCCTCCCAAGCACTGGGATTAAAGTCATGTGCCACCATGTACTTTTTAGTCTTTTTGATTTTTCTTTAAAATATATCATCTTTCTATACATTAAATGAAAAATTATTTAAACATTAAAAATAAATAAACACAAAAAATAAACTTTCTAAGAAAATTCAATTATTTGAAAATAAAGCACAAGAGGCCGGGTGGTGGCGGCACATGCCTGTAATCTCAGCACTCGGGAGGCAGAGGCAGGCAGATTTCTGTGAGTTTGAGGCCAGCTTGGTCTACAAGAGCTAGTTCCAGGACAGGTTCCAAAGCTACAGAGAAACCCCATCTCAAAAAAAAAACAAAAAAGAAAATAAAGCACAAGAAAACCCTATAAGGTGTATGTGGGTTATACCCAACCAAATTACATATAGTTTTATATAAAATACTTTATTCTTTTTAAAAAAGAATTATTTATTTTTATGTATATTGGTGTTTTGTTTTCATGTATATCTGTACACCATGTCTAGCCAGTGCCTGTGGGGGCCAAGAGGATGTAGATTGTTACGAGCTAGACCACCCTAAGGGAATCAAGTCTGCAGACTCTGGAAGAGCAGCCAGTACTCTTAATCAATCCCTGAGCCATCTTTCTACCACTTAGAGTGTTTTTCCTTTATAAGGGGCTGGGAGAATGTCCAGTCAGTCAAGAGCTTGCTGTGAAAGTATGAGGACAAGGGCTTGATCTTCAGAATCCATGTTAAAAGCAAACAAACAAACAAGTCATGGAGATGTGACCCCATAACTGGGAAGGTGAAGGCAGGAGGATGTCCAACCTAGCCTAATCGATCAGAAAGTGAACTTGTCTGAAACTAACATTGTGGATGGCATCTTGACGAAGAACCCCTGAGGTTGACTTCTGACCTTCACGTGTGTGAACACACACACACACACACACACACAGACACAAACACAGACACACAAAAAGTGTTTATTCCTCAAGCCTTTTGTATCTGTGCGAAACATCTGTAACTCATTCAGATCTTTAATCCACATCTCAAATCGCTTTCAGAGATATTGTCTAGAAACCAGAAATCGTATGTATCTTACCAGGGTTCTTTTGTTAAATTCGGTATAGAATCAGGAAAGAAAAGAGAAAAATAAAACTAGATCTTTTGGTTTTAGGAATTCTGCACTCTGGACTTCCTTGTTTGTTTCAGAAAGGTTCTTACTTCGTAGGCCAGGGTATCCTGGAAGCCAGTCAGACTGAATTTAGGATAATCCCCCTGATTTAGCCAAAGTAGGAGCTGCCTTGCCTGCCTGACATTATGTAACACTTAATCGTAAAGTATTTTAGAATTTTGGCTCATGCCTAGATTTAATGTGTAACTCACATATGTTTGTATCTACACTCTAGACAATTGCAGGTGCCCTTTAAGCAAGCAAACATTGTATCTTCATTACAGAGTGTGGGGTGCTGCTGCTGCTGGGGAATTGGCTCTGCATTTAGGACCTCTTGAGGACCTCCTGGATTTGGTTCCCAGCACTCACAGAGAGGCTCACAGTGCTGTAACTCCAGGTCCAGGGGCTCTGACGTGCTCTTTGGGTATCCATGGGCATGGGACATGCAGGTAAATAAGGTAAAATTTGCCTTACATAGATGCAGGCAAATCAGTCATGCATATAAAGCAATATAAGTAAATATAAAAAATAGTATGGCTTTAAGAAAACCCGTAAAAAAGACACCACGCCAGTATTTCACGAAGATCCCTGTACATGCATTTATTGCAGAAGTTTTCACAGTAGCGGTTATGGAACCAAGATGCCAGTCAAAAAAGGAACAAAGATATGGCTTATATGTGGAAATGGAATATTTTTAGTCATAAATAAGAGCAATGTATATAATTTTCAGGCTGTGGATAAAATTGGAGATTATCATAGTAAGTTTCAGAGAGACAAAATATCTTTGTTTCTCTCATTCGTCGGTTCCAGATTTTATAAGTACATAAAATCATACATGTTACAGATAACATGAAAGTAGACGAGAAACCGGGCGAACAACGAGGACTAAAGGAAGTGGAGGAGTACAAAATAGCAGGGAATGAGCGAGAGTTCGCTGGAAATAGGTCATATGCAGGCAGGAAAACATATCCTGAGCTTGCAGGACGCGGCGCCTCTAGCCTCTCTCCATAAGGTGGCGCGATACTTTGAGCGAGGTGTCTGGCGGCTAGCAGTCGCCTCTTCCCTGTGCTCCAGACGGAGACCAAGGCCTGGTGAAGGGATTGCCGGGATTGTAGGAAGTGATCCCTGGGAAGGGGAGTGGTTCGGGACCGATGCGCACCGCGCCAGGTTTCTGCAGCAGCCCTGCTCGCCTTGGTGTGGCCCGCAGACGCACAGCCGCGACCATGCCCCTCCACGTGAGCCTCGCCAACGGCAACCGGGACCTGGACTACGACTCGGTGCAGCCATACTTCATGTGCGACGATGAGGAGGAAGACATGCAGGAGCAGCCGCCGCAGCCGCCCGCGCCCAGCGAGGACATTTGGAAGAAATTCGAGCTGCTGCCCACACCGCGCCCGTCCCCGGGCCACGCCGGCCTCTACTCACCTTCCAGCGAAGCGGTCGCCGGGTCTTTCTCCCCCAGGGAACACGACGGTGACAGTTTCTACCATGAAGACCTGCTGGAGATGATGCCCGAGCTGCCAGGAGGAGAGGCGGTGAAGCACAACTTCGTCTGCGACCCGGACGACGAGACCTTCGTGAAGAACATCATTCTGCAGGACTGTATGTGGAATGGCTTCTCGGCCTCTGCCAAGCTGGTCTCCAAGCTGGACTCCTACCAGGCTGTGCGCAAAGAAGGCACCAGCGCGAGCCCGGCCGGGGACACTGAGCCTACGACGCCTCCAGACTGCACCTGCAACACCTGAGCGCACAGCCCTGGGTCTTCAGACTGTAAGCTTCAGCCATGTTAACTGCTTCAAATTCTGGGCGTAAGAGAACCCCCTCCCCCTTTTCTTTTTTTAAAGCTTGCCATCCTTCCTCACTCCCCTTAACAGATTTGTATTTGTTTAATAAAAAGTCTTAACGTTTATCAATTTTCCAATGTTACTGGACCCTTAAATGTAAATAACTTCAATAAAACACTATCAGTTGTACGAGATCTTCAAATACGAAGTATAAAAGTATATTTTCCTTTTTAAAGTCGATTCTTTTCTATGGTTTTTAGAGAAACAAAATAATTAGGAAATATATTGAGCCCACGCTAAAGACATAGCGTTATGAAATTAAAAAAAAAAACAAGAAGCTACAGAAAATACTACGATTGAAAGTATGCTAGAAGCAAGAAAGAGAGGAAATTTATATGATTAAAAAGAAAAAATAAACAAAAAAAAGGAAAAGACAAAAGATACTCCAGTAATGAAACCAATGCATAAACAAAATTTTAAAAATAGACCAACGGGTTTAAAACTAGGACCATAATTTTAAAAATAAAGGTACTGTTGAAGCACAGAAAACGGAAAAGGGTGAGTCTCAGGAGACAAGGGGAAAAAAAAAACACCAAAGTGTCGGTGTTTCCTTCTGGGTCTTGTGAATTTGGAGGCGGCCAGGTGTGTGGGGTGTATGGCGTCAGCTGAGCTTGTGGACTCTTCTTTCTCCTCCCATTTAGGCTGTGCTGGCTCCACGTGGGACAAATGAAAACAGGAGCTGTCGTCATTTCAGTATTTTCCCTCGCGTACCAGGGGCCTCTGCTGGCCACACTTGGCTTTGCAGTCTGAGAGCTGTGCCGGCCCTCTTTCCCCCTCACCCTCCTGAACTTCCTCAGCTCCTACCCAGGAGTAGCTAAAGTTCCAGCCGAGGGGAAGGGAGGGTCTCCGAATGGGCTGGGAGTGAGCCAGCAGCCGCGGTGCTGAGATCTCTATGGGTTCATGCACCTACTTTCAAAGGCCACCACACTGGAGGCTGCAGCTGGGAGGCAGAGTAGGCCGCTGGAGTCAGGGATCTCAGAGTCCACAGAGCCACACTCGAGGCACTGATAGACCTGCTGGCCCCAGCTCAGCGCAGTCAAATTCCAGTGTATTTTCAATTGATCAGGTCAGCCCCAGGCACAACCAGGGTGGGGACCCTTTTCCCATGCATTTCACTGCCTGGGCCCAGCTTCCTGCCAGTTGGACTTTTTGGTTTCTCAATACCAGACACCTACTCTCCATAGCTGCCTCCCAAACTCACCCTGGAGCTGTGTGGGAGGTTAAATTCAGGGTCCCTGAGTTGCCATGGTTCACTGCTCCAGGCCTCCAAGAGAGATCTGGTTTATATATCAGGTTCCCTCTCAGGATGGCTCCTGGCCACAGCCCTCAGAGCTGGGGCACTGCTCTCCACAGCCCACCCACCTAGCTAGAAAACTGACTGACTGTTCCCCCCAAGATCAACATCTGGATTTGAGGCTTGTGTGAGCTGTGACCTTGTCCTGTGGCTCCCAGCACCAGGGCTACCTGGCTGTCCTTGGCCTGGAGCTCTGACTCCCTCACAGGGGCCACAGTGCTGGAGTTGTGCTTGGCTTTCTTCCTTTTGCTGAGTTTTCTCTTTTTGTTTCTACACAATTCCCAGCTGTCCTGGCCCTGCTTTTAAGAATGTCTAAAGCGGGCTCTCTCTCTTCCTTATCCCGACTCTTCCGCCAGTGCCCGTGGAGTCACCTTCTTCCCTCCATCCATCTGGAAGTCTCTGGTTTAGGTGTTGACCACGTTGGACAATCACAGTAGTTGCTATTGAACCTTTTGTCAGCTTTTTCCATGTTACCCATTAGGAATTAGCTCAGGTCTGTTTTGTTCCTGGTCTTGTGCCCTGTGAACCTTTGGCTAAGGGAAGTCAGCAGGGCGCTCTGCTAGCCCTTCCTCAGAGGTGGACTTGGCTATGAGAACAAAACAACACAGGCCCTGTGGTTATAAACAGACATTGATTTCACAGTTTCAGAGCCTGGGAGCCAAAGTCAAGGAGCCAGCAGATTTGGGTTTGCTGAGGGTCCACTTCCTGGTTCTCGGATGGCTGTGAACCACTGTGGGCTTACACGGTGGAAGGAAAGAACCTGGTCTAAAATCATCAATTCTGCCTATGAGGTCTGCACCTCTGAAAGCCCCTCCCTCCCAAACCCATCTCCTTGAAGTTAGGTCTGAAGACATGGAGGGTAGGTGGACACCAACAACCTTTGTGAGGCCCTCTGAATTTCATCACTGTCTGAGGTTTGTCCTCCAAGACTTGTCCCAAGGTCTTTCAGTTCTTGTCATCAGGTTGTGCTATCCAGCCATCTTTGAACCTTTGAACCCTATCAGGAGATGTTGCACAGAGGTGTCCCCTGTCTTTCTACAGCCCAGTCTGGCTCACTCCTCTGGCAGCTCTGTAGCTTGAGGCCTTCACCACCTGGCAGAGGCCTCAGGTGGTGGCAGCAGTGACTGGTGAAGCTTTACACCAGGGCAGGAGGTTCTGAAACCACAGGGCCACCTTCATGTCAGTTTAGCCTGTATTTTAGTTCCTTTTCCTGTTTCTGTGATTTAAAAAAAAAAAAAAAAAAACTAAAAGGGGGGGGGGGGGCAGTGGTGCTGCATGCCTTTAATCCCAGCACTCGGGAGACAGAGGCAGGCAGATCTCTGTGAGTTCAAGGCCAGCCTTGTCTACAGAGAGAGTTCCAGGACAGGCTCCAAAGCCACAAAGAAACCTGTCTTGAAAAACCAAAACCAACCAACCAACCAACCAAAAACAAGCAAAACAAAACAAAACAAAAAACCCAGACTAAAGCAGGTTCAGAATAATTTTTTTTTTTTCTGGTTCACAATCTGAGAGTACAGGCCACCACGTGGAGGAATCCTGCACGCAGGAGCCTAAAGGCAATCCCTCACACGGCAGTCCCAGCCAGAAACAGACAGACCAAGGCTCTTTCTTACGGTCCAGAATCCTTCCCTGGGAACAGAACCACCTACAGTGTGTGGGTCTTCCTGCCTCCTTAGCTAATGAAGACAACCGCAGAGTATGCCCAGAGTCCTGTCTCCTAGGTGATTTAGACCTCATCTAGTGGACAGATGAGATTAGCCATCACAGCATGACTCAGCAGAAGACACCACAGGGGGATCCAGGTGAGAGTGCTTTATTTACATAATGACCCCAGAACTAACAGCAGGCAAAAAAAAAAAAAAAAAAAACTGCTCAAGGGACTGCCAGTGCCTTTAACGGTTATCATAGAAGCCATGCTTTGTGAAACTGGATCTTCCCTTTGATGGGGAAAGCCTGGGAGGTGGAGAGAGAGAGAGAGAGAGAGAGAGAGAGAGAGAGAGAGAGAGAGAGAGAGAGA